ACGAGTTTCTCTCGTGGCTTGGGATTTTCCCATGTTCCTTTTCTCTCCCTACATCTGACCATCTAAATCTCTGCTTTAAAAAAACAACACACTCCCAGACTCCTGTGACATTAAAGAAATCCTCTGTCACAGCTCAATATCATCTTGGCTCCTATTTTCATGAATCCTGGGATGTTGTTGCTCTCCACCCTAAGTATTCTCACCGCCTCCCTCATCATCTGGGTGAATGCTGGACTAAAAAGCCCTTTTGGGTGATTTATTCCATATTTCACCAATGAAATCAGCCTCTGTCTTGCCATCCACCAGCAGGGCAACCCAAAGAGATCTAAGCCTACCCAAAATCCCAGGAAAGGGGTGTGAGAAGAGTTCAAGGCAGGGGCTAACAGCAAAAAATAAAAGCAGGAAAACTAGATTTCAGGGGAGTTCAGCTCCTTGTTTAGTGGAGACATTAAAAGCATATTTTTTTTCCTTACCTTCAGCTTGACACAGGATCCTGCTGTTCAGCTCCTCTTTTTCCTGCTTCAGGAGAGCATTTTCTTCTTCCAAGTCGGATATCCTCTAGGAAAGAAGGCAAGGAATTAGTGCTGGCTGCAGGGCAGAGCCTCTGCAAGGGGACTGCAGCTCACCTGGCTGGAGACAAGGAGTTTTGCTGGAGCTTGCTTTGCTTTTTCAAAGATCCAGCTCCTTGTGCTCTGCCAGTTCGCCTTTGCACATCAGGAGCTGAAGGGTAGAAGAACCACACTGCAAGAACTTGGCTCTTCCCAAGTGCATTTTTCCCTTCATTTGATGTTTTCAGCAGAATCTGACAAAATACTGAGCAGCAGGACTTGGTGACCATGATCTGAATAAGTGATCATCAAATCATTACTCCCACACCTCAGTGGGTTTCACTGCTGTACTCAGGTCAGAGCAGGTCCTTTCAAGCCATGTGGCATTTAAGTAGTAGTGATGGACTCTGGAACAGGTTGTCCAGGGAGACTGTGGATGTACCAGCCCTGGAAGGTATTGATCATGAGCTCTCCTGCCCAAGAAACTTAAGTTATGATGGTTGGAAAACAAAACTAGTCAAAAATGAGGAGTACTTTCAATCACACAGGAGGGATGTTTTAGAACTGGAAGACTTGGTAGAATCCATAAAGTTGTTCCCAGTTTTATAAATCCCCATACCTAGTATGGCTTAGAGATGTACAATATGTGAACTTCAGTGACTGAGCTTGTTTTTCACATTCCTGTCTCTATATGAAATAAATATAAGCTGGAATTCAACCTTTGTGTTGATGGAGACCCCAGGAGAAGGAAAACAGTCAATGAAATACAAGTAGAGGCAAAAGGAGCAGGTCACACATGGGCCAAGCAGAACAAACTCCATCTCTGGTACCTACACTGGGACCTTTTGTACCTCATGCTCATCTTTCCACAGGAAACATCTTAGAAGGTGTTTCAAGTTCAACTGATGTGAAGGATTTTTATGGAAGGTGATGAGCAGTAAGCACTCATGATGGCTTCAGCCCTTACTTAAGTGTTCCACTAGAATCACCTGCTCCTGAGATCTTGCTCCAAACTTCCCCTAATCTTGTGAGGTTGATGGCATTTAGGATTTTGCTAAGACAAATCCTGGCCAGGCTTTGAATCATCCCAGCTCATCAGATGAGAAGATGAAGTGCTACCAAAGAAGCCCTAGGAATAGCTGTTGGTAAACCCACTCAGATCTGAGTGAGTAAAGATCTGATGGTTTTAAGTTCATCACAAACTGGAATAAGAACTACTACTCTAAAATTAAGCAGCTGGAAAAGAAGAGACGTAAGGAGGAGATTAAAAGACCTTTTTTCCAGTAACAAGATCACAACCAATATGGATTTGCAGATGTTGCAGCCCCAGTTTAAGTCAGTAAAATCAAAGCTCTCACTCAGAAGTGTCTGATGACTTGGGGAATCATCTCTAGAGCAAGATCATCCTACCACAGCCACAGTGCAGCCTTGGTCTTGAAGGTCCAAACTGCCTCTCACACTTGAATTTGGTTTCATGGCTTTTGGGAGGTATTAAAACGATTCCAAAATCTCCATTGAATTTTTTCTCAGCAGGTCTTTTGGCTAAACAACTGCTTCCAAGAAGGAAACACGTCTTCTCCATCTTCCCATGCATGGGGAACCAAAGGGAGAAACTGAAAGCTAATGGCAGAGGTGGGACCCTGCAGTGCTCAGCAGCAATGTTTTGTAATTGAATCATTTCTTCTCATGGTAGAATGCAGATTATTAGCTCTGCTGGAGGCACTTGTACAAGGGAAAAGCTTTTGCTTTGTTTTCCTGCTTTTTGAAAGCATATCTTGAGTCATTAAATCAACCTTTCTTCTGAGTGCTCAAAGGGGATTTGAAAGCAAGAACAAAGAGGAGGAGTTTTTTTCCCCAGCTGCATCACCTTGAAAATAAAGCATCTTTTCAGGCTCTAAAAGCCTGTGCTGGAGCCAACTAATGAACTGAGCCCTGTGCCAAAAAGGAGCTTCTCATTTGGTGCTGCAGAGAAGAAAACATTTGTTCCACGTCCCTGTGTGGGTGCAACACACATGTGCAAAGAGCAGAGGAACCTCTCTGATAGCTCTTGGTCCAGCCAAGAGACAACACAGGTAAAAGCTTGAAGCCCTTCAGTGAAGAACATCCAAAAATATGGTTCAGATGTGTTTAGATTAAGTTATCCTGACCATGGAGCCCCCACAGCTCCTCACCCCAACCCACCAGCCAAGGCTTCATCCACCAGAGGAGGCTGGGAAGGACAGCTGATGCTAAGTGCTCCAGAAGAGCCTCATCTGGACACTCTTCCACCGTAATTAACAGACAGCTAACGCCAGACTTTTTGTATCTCCAAAACTGACTCACCTTCAGGGTGCCATACAAAAAGTGCCATATTGGAGTAACAGCTGCAGAATGGGTTTTGCTGTGCAATGTAGTGCGTAGAAAAGTTCTACATGCTTTCCAAGAGCAGGATCAAAGAAACCACTTCAGCCACCAGGGCAGAAGAAAAAAGATCATGGATGGAACCTGAGCAGTCAAAAGCATTCACAGAAGGAAACCAATTCCATCCATTAGTGGTTTAGGTCATGACTGAGGATGTGAAGGTGGCACAAAATGAACCTGATAAGCAAAGACATTCAGGGTAAAAGGTCCATTTTTGCTATGTGCAACACCTTACAGAATCATTTTGGATGGAAGAGACCTCTAGGAGCATTCAGCCCAATCATTCCCCCAGCCCTGCCAAGGCCACCCCTGCCCCATGTCCCTCAGCACCACATCTACACGGCTTGGAAACCCCTCCAGGGATGGGGACTCCAGCCCTGCCCTGGGCAGCCTGGCCCAGGTTGCCCAGAGAAGCTGTGGCTGCCCCATCCCTGGCAGTGTTGAAGGGCAGGTTGGATGGGGCTTGGAGCAACCTGGGCTGGTGGGAGGTGTCCCTGCCCATGCAGGGGGGTTGGAACTAGATGATCTTGAAGGTCCCTTCCAATTCAACCCAATCTGTGATTCTGTGTCCTTATTTCACACAGGTCTGGGTTTGGGGAGTCTCTTCTCAGTTGGAGGTACACAAGGTTCACAAAGCACATGAGGCCATTACTGCTTCTGCAGGCATCTCCACTTGCTCTTGCTGCACCACGGCCTGGTTGAAAAGTAAATTCTAAGGGCATTGAGTGGGAAAAAAAAACATATAAAACTTAATTAAAGAAAACAAATTAAGTCTTTCCCCTTCAGCCCTGTGAAGAGTGTCCTTTTACCTGCATGACCACCTACAGAGCATAAGACATGATAAAAGACACATACCCTTCTCAGCAGATCTTTCTCTTTGGTGTAGCTGTCTTCCACAACCTTCCTCTCCCCATGAGCTCTTTCAAGCTCCAGCCGAAGATGCTCCATCTCTTCTTGCAAGCTGACCAGCTGGTTGCCATCACCCTGGTGACTCTGCTGATAATGCAGCAGTTCCTTCTTCAACTTTTCCACCTCAGAGGAGTGGGCAGATGTGAGTGTAGAGAGCTGCTCGTTCAGAAGTCTATATTCCTTGTTCTGCAGCCAAAACAGAGAAGAAATAAAGACCAGGAGAAAGATCAATGCATGGACTGATCGACTACAAAAACAACTGCCACAAGAGAGCTTGGACAAAGAGGAACCTCATGAGGTTACACAAGAATAAGTGCAGAGTCCTGCACCTGGGGAGAAGAACCACCAGGCACTAGTGTAGATTAAGGGCTGGCCTGCCAGAAAGCAGACCCATGGAGAAGGACCTTGGGGTCCTGGTGGACAACAGGTTACCCATGGGATAGCAATGTGCCCTCGTGGCCAAGAGAGCCAGTAGTATCCTGGGGTGCACTAAGAACAGTGTGGGCAGCAGGTCAAGGTTCTCCTCCCTCTCTGCTCTGCCCTGGTGAGGCCACATCTGGAGGACTGTGTCCAGTTCTAGGCTGTGGAGTCTCCTTCTCTGGAGACTTTCCAGCCCCATCTGGACATGTTCCTGTGTGACCTGCCCTAAGTGGTCCTGCACTGGCAGGGGGGTTGGACTCAATGATCTTCAGAGGTCCCTTCCAACCCCTACGATCCTATGAAATCCTTAGGCATGGTGGATAACAAGCTTTGGGATAGTGAACATTTCCATGCATTAGCTAATCAAGCTAATAAAGCTCAAAACCATTTCAAAACTTTGACAAAGGCTGAATAATATTTTGGGAACAAATGCACAAGCTTTTGTTAAATGGATGTTCCACTTGAAGCAAAAGCAAACAATGCATGAGAGTCTGGCAACCACTACAAAATACCTACATTTTATTACAGCTCTCAAACAATGTTACTTAATGCTATTACTTGGCATTTATTTTTTTGAGGCTGTAATATTGGGCTTGTAGTTTATCCTTTTCTTCCTGACTCCTTTGCCTGCAGGAGCCTGTGGTGACAACATCATGTAGTGTAATTGCAGCCTTGAGCACCAAGAGCTCCCTAAACCCCAGCTTTAAGTCATACGTCACCTCAAAAGTCTTGGTTTGCTGCAATTTTCACTCTTAAAGCACTTGGCAGGGATTTACTTCCCAGTTTTGAGACCTGACAATGCAGCAGCTCTGATTTTTGTGGTTGGAGCCCAGAAACCAACCATGTCTTGGGCTGCATCCCAAGCAGCGCGGGGCCAGGAAAGGCATTGTCCCCTCTGCTCTGCTGAGACCCCCCTGCAGGGCTGGGGCCAGGGCTGGGGTCCCCAGCACAAGAAGGACGTGGAGCTGTTGGAGAGAGTCCAGAGGAGGCCACGGAGATGATGGGAGGGCTGGAGCAGCTCTGCTCTGGAGCCAGGCTGGGAGAGTTGGGGTGTTCAGCCTGGAGAAGAGAAGGCTCCAGGGAGACCTTAGAGCACCTTCCAGTGCCTGAAGGGGCTCCAGGAAAGCTGGGATGGGACTTGGAACAAAGACAGGGAGTGAGAGGACAGAGGGGAATGGATTAAAAGAAGCTTTTCTCTCATCATCCTCCCACTGAGCAAAGTCTTCAGCCAGCAAGGTGGAGACCCAAGAATCCAAGTGCATCTGCACTTCCATGGTGACATCCCACCTTAAGAAGCACCTGGCCAGCAGTAGCAGAAGGCTGTCACCACTGTGATGACATCCTCCCCAGACATCATGGGGAAGATAAAACCCTTCCTGGGCAGACAACAGAGGCAAAGCAGAAGCAGGACCACGCTTGTTCCAGCGCAGCTCAGGACTTACCTGCTCATTGATCTTCCTTTGAAGTTGGACCACCTTGTTCTCCATGCCAATGTTGAGCTTCTTCAGGTGCTGGGCTGAACGGGCCTCAATCTTCAGCGCCTTCAGCTCCTGCCTGGCCTTCATGCGGCGGTAGCAGCACTGGAGGACAAGGGTGGCCCCCTTGAGCCTGCGGAAGTGTGTGCAGGCCAACCAGCCCCTGGCGTACTTCTGCAGGATGATGGCTTTGTGCTCTGCCAGAATCTGGAAAAGATGGGCAGAAATGGGACCATCAAGGGAGAAGAGGCTCCTGGAAAAGTAGCAGCAAGCCCAGGTTTGGCTGCAACGTGGCACTCGACACTTCCCAAAGAACCTTCCCAAAGGGTTTCTCCTCCAAGGAGGAGTGCCCTGGTAGGTGCGGGGGGTGATGGTTGGAGACAAGAGGCTGTTATTTTGCATCCTCTTTTATAGATGGGAAGGGGTCCTTCAAACCCAACTCCTGGGGGAAGGTTTCTCTGGTCACTGCACTCAACTGGTGCAGGCAGAGCACATCCAGCTGGTTCACTTCTCTCTAAAAACAGTCAACACCTGCTCAAGGCCACTGAAAGGAGGGAATTTGATCCTGGCTGGTGAGGAGAGGACTGGATGGGGACAGAGGAAAAACTGGACTCAAGTGAGGCTTCAGAGACCACCTGGGAATAGCAGACAGCTCCACAAGATACAGAGCCAGCAGAATAAACAGCTGCTAACAGACACACTGGGCAACCAACTTACTGTCCCTTCAGCATCAGGTACAACTCACACCAGACCAGGTTTGTACATGGTTTTTATCCCTGTATTCCACCTCTGCGTTTTGATAATTTAGACTGCAAATAAATGCTGTCCTGGTGAGACTACTTCTTATGTGGAGAACCTTCAGATAAACTCTGGAGCCCTTTCACCACACTCTGCAGCCACTTCTTGTGCATGACTCCATTTCTGCATTATCTCCAGGAACAGGCTCTCTCTCCCCTCTGACTTCTCTGAGTATCTCTGTGACAACAATCAGGCAGAAATTTAAGGAATGCCTAAGTAAGGCTAGACCTAAAGGGCTGGACAGAAGACTCTCCAAAGCTGTTCTCAGTTTCCTGACAGATGATTTCTCACCCTATCATTTGTTGTCATCAAAACTCCACTTCCTTGCTTTCATCTCCTGGTTTAAAACAAAAGGCTAATGGAAAGAACTAATAAGAGGGATTTAGATCAATAAATGACTTGATTCCTTCCATGACACACCCTACAGGTCTTCCTACCATACTGGAAATAGCACCTGAAGCATCATTTCAGCTTGCCAGGGCATGAGTTAGACCAAATGACACTTCCAGATCTCTGCAACACCTCCCAGCATCTGAATGACCAACTTGATTCAGTAGGTCTGCTAAGGTGCCGCTGCCAAACTCATTTTTGCTTGCACATCTTTAAATGGCAACACTTCCCATCAATGTATGGTCTCCAGAAACACCAGAGGCTTTGTAAAAAAATGCAACAAAAAATATATCATCATGCTGTGCCAGTGAAGGTCAATATAATAATCACAGAATCATTGAGTGGTCTAGGTTGGAAAGGACCTCTGAAAGTCATTGAGTCCAACCCCCCTGCTGCAGCAGGAACACCCAGGGCAGGTCACACAGGAACGTGTCCAGATGGGTCTGGAAAGTCTCCAGAGAAGGAGACTCCACAGCCTCTCTGGGCAGCCTGGCCCAGGGCTCTGTCACCCTCACAGCAAAGAAGTTGCTCCTCATCTTGAGCTGGAACTTCCTGTGTTGTCACTTGGGGCCGTTTCCCCTCGTCCTGTCCCAGGCACCACTGAACAGAGACTGGCCCATTCCTGACACCCACCCTGCAGGTATTGAGAGACATTCATCAGGTCCCCTCTCAGCCTTCTCTTCTCCTCACTAAACAGCCCCAGGTCTCTCAGCCTTTCCTCATCAGACAGATGTTCCAGTCCCTTCATCATCTTTGTAGCCTCCTTTGGACCCTTCCCAGCAAATCCCTGTCCCTCTGGAACTGGGGAGCCTAGAACTGGACACAGTCCTCCAGATGTGGCCTCACCAGGGCAGAGCAGAGGGGCAGGAGAACCTCCCTTGACCTGCTGGACACACCCTAGGATACTATTGGCTCTCTTGGCCACAAGGGCACATTGCTGTCCTATTGGTAACTTGTTGCCCACCAGGACCCCAAGGTCATTCTCCATGGGGCTGCTTTCTAGCAGGCCAACCCCTAATCTATACTGGCTCCTAGTGGTTCTTCTCCCCAGGTGCAGGACTCCACACTTACTCTTGTTGTACCTCATGAGGTTCCTCTTCGCCCAGCTCTCCAAGCCTGTCTAGATCTCCCTGAATGGCTGCACAACCTTCAGGTGGATCAGCCAATCCTCTCAGCTTCATGACATCTGCCAACCTGCTGAGGACACACTCTGTCCCCACATCCATGTCCCTCATGAAGATGTTGAGTAAGACTGGGCCCAGCACTGACCCCTGGGGAACACCACTAGTCACAGGTCTCCAGCTGGACTTTGCACCATTGATCACAACCCTCTGGGCTCTATGGTTCAACCAGTTCTCCATCCATCTTGCTGTCCTGTCTTCCAACTCACTCTTCCTGAGCTTATCCACGATGATATTATGGGAGACAAGTGTCAAAAGTTTTCAACTAAAAGACTCTTCTTGTTCTTTTCTAAGGCAAAGACACCCTGTGGAATCATACCTTGCGATAAGCCCTCCTGACAAACATGCCCCGAGCAAAAGCCTGAATGGTGAGGGTGGCCTTGCGGACCCTCTGGAAAGCTCGGAGGATCCGCAGCATTCGGTACTGCTTCTGGAAGGTGATGGCAGCTCTTGTCCTCCTCAGGTGCTCAGCAAGCCTAGAAGGACAGGAGAAAGGTTAGCAGTAAAAATGAAATCCCGCCTTCTTTCTGTTGCAGTAAGTTTGAAGCTGGACAGGGAGAAAAACCCATCATCCCAAAGTAGCTTGATGGTATTCAAAGAAGACCATCTCACCAGCAGGGTTAAGACAAGGAGAGCAGATATCTGGTCTCCAGTAGAATCATGGAAGTCCCTGGCACCCAGGAGAACTGGAACCAGAAATCAACACACTTCATTATTCCTAAACAGCTTTAATATCCAACTATTTTCCAGCTTTTCCCTTGGTCTGAACTCTGCCTTACATTCTTGAGCCACTCAACACCCAGGTTGGCTCTATCACTTCCTAATTATAAAAAGCAAGACACATGGGGTGTCCAGCTCCTCAGTGAAAGCAGCTGCCAGTTGGTTTGACATCTCAACTGGTGTGCACTGGTTTGGCAACATCCATGAGCAGAGCCCTGAGCAATTCACAGAGAGCAAATAATGAGGGAGGTGGTCAGCCCTGTGTCATGTTGCTCCCATTCTCCAACTGACTCCTTGTTCAATTTGCTACTTCACAGGTTAATAAATACCCATAAAACCTCCATTTCATTTGATAATGAGCTGGTTTGGCTGAACTGATGATGAATTTCTTAATCATGTCTTCTCAGCAGGAGAAGACAGTTTGATCCACTTGGTGAAAAGCAGATCAAAACTAGGAGAGCCCATCTCAGATTGGTTTGTATATTCTCTTGATCCTCCCTCCTCAGAGGGATGGTTGGTTGATGCAAAGTCAACTATAGAGTCCAAGTCTGCAGGTGTGCATGGAGATCCCACCAGAGAGGTTAAAGTTAATCACCAGCTCTCCCATTTTCTTAACCTTCCTCTAACTGCTTAGGTCTCATTTGCCTGGTCTTCAAGTGACCTCTAAGACTGTCAAGAGGGTCCTGCAGCCATGAGCCTACAAGAAGTACATGAACTTCAAAGGACATGAAAAAATGGGTTCTCAGTTTGAAATAAGTGTCACCAAACTGCCCAGCTTTGCTTATTTGAGACCTTCTCATCCCTCCAATCTCCAAGAGGCCAACCACTTTCACAAGAGCAAATAACACAAGGAATTCCATCTCTGATGTTCTTCCAGAATACAGTATGGTCTAGAGGAAACACTTGGAAGGAACAAGGAAGTTCTTCACCTTTGGTTGCTTTCATGATTGATAGAAACCAATGTTTATGCAGCAGTTAGGAGTGAAATGAAAGTGCAAGAGCCTTGTAGACAGGCAGCATCTCATGGTGCCCAAGCTGCAGAGTTACCTGGGCTGAAGATCCTTCCACTTCTGATGGGCAAGCAGTAAAAATGAAATCCCGCCTTCTTTCTGTTGCAGTAAGTTTGAAGCTGGACAGGGAGAAAAACCCATCATCCCAAAGTAGCTTGATGGTATTCAAAGAAGACCATCTCACCAGCAGGGTTAAGACAAGGAGAGCAGATATCTGGTCTCCAGTAGAATCATGGAAGTCCCTGGCACCCAGGAGAACTGGAACCAGAAATCAACACACTTCATTATTCCTAAACAGCTTTAATATCCAACTATTTTCCAGCTTTTCCCTTGGTCTGAACTCTGCCTTACATTCTTGAGCCACTCAACACCCAGGTTGGCTCTATCACTTCCTAATTATAAAAAGCAAGACACATGGGGTGTCCAGCTCCTCAGTGAAAGCAGCTGCCAGTTGGTTTGACATCTCAACTGGTGTGCACTGGTTTGGCAACATCCATGAGCAGAGCCCTGAGCAATTCACAGAGAGCAAATAATGAGGGAGGTGGTCAGCCCTGTGTCATGTTGCTCCCATTCTCCAACTGACTCCTTGTTCAATTTGCTACTTCACAGGTTAATAAATACCCATAAAACCTCCATTTCATTTGATAATGAGCTGGTTTGGCTGAACTGATGATGAATTTCTTAATCATGTCTTCTCAGCAGGAGAAGACAGTTTGATCCACTTGGTGAAAAGCAGATCAAAACTAGGAGAGCCCATCTCAGATTGGTTTGTATATTCTCTTGATCCTCCCTCCTCAGAGGGATGGTTGGTTGATGCAAAGTCAACTATAGAGTCCAAGTCTGCAGGTGTGCATGGAGATCCCACCAGAGAGGTTAAAGTTAATCACCAGCTCTCCCATTTTCTTAACCTTCCTCTAACTGCTTAGGTCTCATTTGCCTGGTCTTCAAGTGACCTCTAAGACTGTCAAGAGGGTCCTGCAGCCATGAGCCTACAAGAAGTACATGAACTTCAAAGGACATGAAAAAATGGGTTCTCAGTTTGAAATAAGTGTCACCAAACTGCCCAGCTTTGCTTATTTGAGACCTTCTCATCCCTCCAATCTCCAAGAGGCCAACCACTTTCACAAGAGCAAATAACACAAGGAATTCCATCTCTGATGTTCTTCCAGAATACAGTATGGTCTAGAGGAAACACTTGGAAGGAACAAGGAAGTTCTTCACCTTTGGTTGCTTTCATGATTGATAGAAACCAATGTTTATGCAGCAGTTAGGAGTGAAATGAAAGTGCAAGAGCCTTGTAGACAGGCAGCATCTCATGGTGCCCAAGCTGCAGAGTTACCTGGGCTGAAGATCCTTCCACTTCTGATGGGCAGATCCTAACTCCAAGCCAAGCAGAACATTGCTGCTCAAAAGCAAGCAACCAAGCTAACACACCACAGCTTCTCTAAGCAGAAAGGAAGGGAAACAAAGCCAAAAGGACCTAAATCATCTTGTTCTTCTCTGTGAAGTGCCTGAGGCCAGCTTGGCCAGATGCAAAAGAAGAGTGGCGTTTCACAGGACTAAGGAACACAAGATCATGGTTAGGGTTGGGAAGGACCTTAAAGATCATCTAGTTCCAACCCCTTACATGGGCAGGGACACCTCCCACCAGCCCAGGTTGCTCCAAGCCCCATCCAACCTGCCCTTCAACATTGCCAGGGATGGGGCAGCCACAGATTCTCTGGGTAACCTGCTCCAATGTCTCAACAAAAATATCTCAGAGTACTTTGATCATCTGATTAGAGTCTAGCTCCTCTAACCCTGGTCCAGCACCTAAAAATTCAATCCATGTGGATATGAAATGAAATTGAGACAAAGAATGTTGATCTCTTGCCCCCAGATAAAGCTGGAGAGAGGGGCCAGGAATGAGCCCTGACACCTTCACCATCGTGCTGCCTTCATGCACAGTATGGCTCTTGTCTTCATGGGGCTGGAAGACAACAGCCCATGCAGAGCATTTTCAATGTTCCTCCCACAAAACTCTCAGTTTAAGACCCACGAGATGGAACAGACTGAAACTCCAAGTGCCCAGAAGTGCTTTTTTACCATTTGCCTTCCCCTCAGAGGACTTCCCAGGACCCACCTCCGTGCCAGGTGTCCACGTGTGTGTCTCTGGATGAGGATGGCAGCTTGTCTCAGCCTTTGGTACTTGATCCTTTGCAGCCAGCCCCTCACTGTCTTCTGAATCATGATTGTGGCAGCTCTGAACTTATCTGCTCGTAGCTTCTCCAGATATGCCACCTGGCCTGCACGGAAAAAGATCTTGGTACGTCCAAACTGGAACTTGTCTGGATCCTTTTCAAAAGCATAAAGGAAACTAAATTTAATTATGGCAAACATTATTTATGTTTTGTTGTTTGTTTTTTTTTTTTTCAGTCTATGTTGCTTAATATAGATTAAAAAAATACCCACTTGGAATCAAATTCAACAACTCACACCTCGTATTAATTGGATGATGAAGTTATTAGAAGGCTTCAAACTACCTGAGCATCTATATATTGAGGAATGAAGCACCTGGATTCCATCTGAAATTCCATATATCTACACAAATTGTGAATATTTTGAGTTGTTTTTTTCTTTGATGTAAAAGAAAAAAGAGTAATTCAACATCAGAGGACTTCCAGAGAAAATTTCCCACTCCAAAAAATTAAGGCTTACACTGCATGTGGTTTTGCAGCCAAGGGAAAAATTTGGTGGACAAGGAGCAAGGAACCCAACTGAGCCACCTCCTCAAGATCTCATGAAGAAACCAGAGATCAAAACTTACAACCTGGCTAAGACTCTGTGTGGACATTGGTAATTGAAAATATACAGCACATGGGATGGAGTAGTTAAGGTTTTGGTGGAGAGAGGTGGCAAAGGCTTCTTACTTGCTGAAGAGAATAAAAGTTCCAATTTATAGGATTATTTCTCCACACATTGGCTACTGAAAGTCCCCCACACCTCAAGATTGGGTGCTGATTGCATTTTCCTCATTTGTACAAAAAGGCATTTAATGATGACTCAAGATGTTGGCCTAAGCTGGACTTCTAAATGGAGCTCCAGCTCCAGCAAGCCAAAACCAGGAGGGGTCGTGGGGGATTCATTTTCTAAGCACGGCCCACTGTTCATGTACAGTTGGTGATGGCCAAGTCTGGACTTCACCAGCACAAAAATGGTATGTTAAGCCTGACTGCAACCAAGAGATGCCATGTGATGCCTGAGAATATCTCCTTTTGCATAGAAAAGAGCTTTAAGATCATCCAGCCCAACCATTGATCCTGCCCAGGCCAGCCCTGCCCCATGTCCCTCAGCACCACATCTACACGGCTTGGAAACCCCTCCAGGGATGGGGACTCCAGCCCTGCCCTGGGCAGCCTGGGCCAGGGCCTGACAACCCTGGCCAGCAAGAAATGCTGCCCAACATCCCAGCTCAGCCTGCCCTGGCACCACTGCAGCCCATTTCCTCTTGTCCCATCCCTTGTTCCTGGGGAGCAGAGCCCGACCCCCCTGGCTCCAACCTCCTCTCAGGCAGCTGCAGAGCCAGAAGGTCTCCCCTCAGCCTCCTTTGCTCCAGCCTGGACACCCCCAGCTCCCTCAGCTGCTCCTCCTCACCCTTGTGCTCCAGACCCTGCCCCAGCTCCCTTGCCCTTCTCTGGACACACTCCAGCCCCTTCATGTCCTTCTTGTCCTGAGGGGCCCATAACTGACCTCAGGATTAAATCATATCAAAGCCACAAGTTTCAGTGCTATAAAACCCATTCCCAAAGATTTGGTCCCAGCTCACCTTAATGAGGTCTTCCAAGAGGGTCTGACAAATCTGCTTCTTGTCGTTCTTCGAGAGGTCTCTCTTTTTCATAAGCACACGATACCTGTTGAAGAAGTCATGGTAGGACCATCTGAAAGTAAAGCAGACAAAGGATTAGTCTGCATGCCAGGCAGTATCTCCTTAAAATAAAGCCTTTAGAGTCCTAGATGAGTCAAAATACAGACCTCATATACTGAGGAACTGCTCACCACTACTCCCAGCCCATATAAAGTCAAGCAAAAGAAGAGGTCACCCCAAACTTTACTCTCAGTCCCAACTCTCCCTGACCACCAAACACTCTTATCAGTGCCTTTCCAGCCTGGAACAGAAAGGCCATGGGTCACACCTTGTTTTCACTTCTCCTGATGTGTTTCCCAAGCTGCTGCCTTGTACAAATCAAATGCAACAACACCGTTCCTTTTGGAAAGGATTTGCTAATTTGGAAGAGATCATGGACCTCCAAAAACATTTCCAAAAGCAATCTTGATTAAGACAGCAAAGAATGACTCAAATAGAAACTCTTCCTTATTATGCTTTTCCAAACTCCGTTGAAGATCAAGTTGAACCAATTCATTCACTAATCCACTCTGGCCTGTGGCCAAGAGCCTGAAAACACACGTGAAACCTTTGGACACTAGAAAGACAAAGCAGCCACATGGAAGATGCTTCACTGTAACCAGCAGAGAAATTTCCAAGCACTTATGACAGGAACTAGAGAACTTCATCTTAATGTTAAGAAAGATCATCTCCTGCCACCACTGCTAGATGCAGAGCCTGCAGACTGGGTCCTGACATTAGTCCAGCATCTGCCAAGTTTCAGCCTTCTCCACATCAGCACAGTGAGTTACAGACCTCTCAAAACCTGAATTTTTAATTTAAACCACCAGATTTTTCCAGCACTGTCAAGTGGGGCTGTTGTTACTTGAAAAAATAAGCATAACAAAGGTCAAAGGAGGATGGGAAGGAACTGCAGAGGTTTTATTTCCTGCCCTCACTCAATGAAACCATCTGTGAGCCTGATCCTCACCCATCTGGATGTTGTGGCAGCCAAGATAAGGATACACTGAATCAAGAGCAGCCACACAAAAACATCTCTGCCCAGCTGCCCTGTGTATGACTTGATTTTCAAGGTATTACATCAAATGCTTCCTATTTTTCCACTTCCAGGCATTAAGAGAGGGGGAAAGAAAGGCAAAATAAACAGGAAAGGGGCAGAGTGGTGCTTGTGACAGGTCCTTACACTTGCCAGTTCCTGTGGTGGGGCTGGGTGAGAAGCCACACCACCTGAGCACTTGCCACATTCAAGCTTGCCATCTCTATAAAATACTTCATCTCTACTTCATCAAGGGTGGGGAGACCCTGGCCCAGGTTGCCCAGGGAAGCTGTGGCTCCCCCATCCCTGGTAGTGTTGAAGGGCAGGTTGGATGGGGCTTGGAGCAACCTGGGCTGCTGGGAGGTGTCCCTGCCCATGCAGGGGGGTTGGATCTAGATGACCTCTCAGGTCCCTTCCAACCTAAAGTGATTCTATAATTCTAGAAGGCAACTTCCAGAAGGCTGGAAGTTGGGATATTTGGCAAGACAGACATGACAGAAATAAAACACTTCTATCCAAATACTCCACCAACACAGCTTCACATCACATCAGAAAACACAGCAGGGGAGGAAAGGCAGTTGATTAAAAGCAATGTTCTAATTAAAATAAGACAGTGGGGAAAAAAAATAATTTACAATGAGAGGAAGGCAAATAAAACCAAAAAATGGACTGCTAAGGATTGCAAAGTGCTACACAATTCCTGTATGGACACACTGCACCCAGGACACCATTTCCAAAGGTTATGAAAACGGCAAAATCTAGAAAAATTTCTTAATGTTGTTAATGAAGAAAAAGGTAAGATGTGTGGGTGTTGGTCTCTTCTCCCAGGGAACAAGTGATGGGACAAGAGGAAATGGGCTCCAGTTGAGGCTGAGATGGGATGTTGGGCAGCATTTCTTGCTGGCCAGGGTTGTCAGGCCCTGGCCCAGGCTGCCCAGGGCAGGGCTGGAGTCCCCATCCCTGGAGGGGTTTCCAAGCCGTGTAGATGTGGTGCTGAGGGACATGGGGCAGGGGTGGCCTGGGCAGGGCTGGGGGACTGGTTGGGCTGAGTGATCCTAAAAGTGTTTTTCAGCTTTAGGGATTCTATGATTATAAGAAATAGAATTTACTGAGTGGCCCTTGAGGGCTTCCAGCCATGGGCTTGTCCACATTGTGTGGCAGCATCCTGAAAACCATTTCATTTAATACCTGAAAACCATTTCATTTAATATGTGTGAACAAGTTGAATGAGACTTTCCCATAATCTCTCCTCCAACCTCCTCTCAGGCAGCTGCAGAGCCAGAAGGTCTCCCCTCAGCCTCCTTTGCTCCAGCCTGGACACCCCCAGCTCCCTCAGCTGCTCCTCCTCAGGCTTTGGCCTTAATTGGGTGTTTTACACAAGGCTACAAGTGGGTGCAAAACAGAGGTGCTGCTCCTGCTTTAAATGGTGGGGCTATGAACCCCAGAGTTGCCCTCTTGCTGCAGAGCCAGCTGGATTAATTACACCTTTGTAATTAAAGGGAGGGCTCAGCTAAGAAATCACAGGTGAAATTCTGAAAAGCATCTTTCCAAGCAGGCAGGAACTCCCCATTGGTGGCCCAGAAGAACGAAAAGCAAAATCCTTCCATTAAGGGTAAACAAATTCATCACCTCCCATCACCCCAGACCATCCTAGTAACCATGTGCTGAGCAAACCTGTCTCCATGCAAGAAATCCAGGTGGTATAATCCCCTGAAGGGATCAAAATTTTAAGGAATGAAGAGCTGGACTAAACTGATCTTTCTAGAGGAGCTGAAGCCTGTTTGGGGGGGAAATGCAGGTTGAATATTCAAGCCAAGATTTGGTATCCAATTATTTTAGAAACTGTAGCTCAGGAAGAACATTTCTCTTGCCTTTGTTTGCTGCAGCAGAACAAATTTGCCTTTCAATTAGCTCAAAAACATGCAGGCTGGCATGGCTTGAAATTATCTGGAATATATTCAAAGAGCAGAATGAGGAGGGAAAAAAACCAAACAACACAGCCCTGTGTTTACATATAATCTTTGTTGGGAGTGGACAAACTGAACTGGTGGTGGCCAAAATCACTTCTAGGTTGTGCTTCCCTGAGATGGTTGCAAAACAGCTAAAGGCACTTGATTAAAAATTATTTGATATCCAAGGATGCCCATGATACATATAAAAGATGAATACGCCACATGTCTAGAGTTCAACAGCTGTGATTTCACACTGAACTGACACAAAAATGCTGCACCTGGCAGCTCCAGCAACCAGAGGAAACCACCAAATGCCCATAATAATAATAATAATAATAAAAAAAGCTATTTCATAGATAAGAACCACCATAAAAAGATCTCATGGAAGCTGCAGTGACAACATTATCTGGAGTGACACCACAAGGGGTGACCACTGCTCTTGTGCCACTGGAACCACCAGAAGCAGCAATAAAAATGTAGAGCTTTGACAAAATGCATGTTAAAAACTTCTTTTAAGGAATATTTTGTTATTAATAGAGATCTGCACCAATTAATTCTCTGCAGACTCATCTTGGTGTGGCCAATTGCTACAAAGATGAATGGTTTTGTAGCACAGAGATTTCTCCCATGCTTTATCCATGGAAGCTGATGACAGATTTACTATCTACACACTTCAGACAGTCCATTCATCACAGTCACTGATGTCCAGGCTAACAAATACATTTCTTAACTGCTGTGTAACATTTCCAACCAAATGATACATTTTCAATTAACTGGAGACAGCAGCAGAGTGCAGCCTGCCA